TTATTTAGGGAGGACTTGTTCTGTGCTTATTAGCTGTAGTCAGGTAGTAGTGCTTTTCTAACTAGGACTGCCTCAGCTTAGGTCACTTAAGGAGAGGGGGATGCCTACTGCTAAATGCTCAAGTGAATACATGGGACCCAAAGTAAAAAAATATTAGAACCCAAACTTCTTAAGGCACTCTTCCCATTTGTACAAGATATGAAATCTACATTAAAAAATAGGAACTGGGCTATCAGCGTGTACAAGACCCTGTGCTGAGCATGTCACTTCATTCGTTCACTTTATAAGGTAATAGTGATTAATGATTAAGCATAATCATAAGTCAGGTTTGGTATAGAAACTAAGAGTCTAGTATTGTGTTATAAAGTGATAATCTTCTGACCATAGAGATTTCGAGTTAACCACAGGTTGCCTTTGGTCGTATTTTTTATGCTATATTTTGGTTTGGACATAGGGTATAGTGTTAAGTAGCCAAGGAAGGGTAACCTTGAACTGTTGCTCCTTATGGTACCACCTCCCAAGTGCCAGAATCAAAGTGTGAACCACCATCTTTGATTTCATGTGGTGCTAACTGGATCCAAGGATCTTCACACATATTTAAGCAAGCATTCTACCAATGAGCCACATCCCCATCCATTGTCATCTTTATCGTTCTGTGCCATACAATCCAAGGTCAGAGATGTTGACTCTGACATGCTACTCTTCCCATCACATGCTTATGCACTGCCAGCCTGTGATACCTCCTGGGCTAGGATGGAGCACAGCCTACATTGCTTTTGCTAGAAATGGTAGTCTATGCTTGTACAGAACTCTCTTTTAAGAGCCACCTTTGGCCACCTGCATGTTACCTACAAGCCCAGTTCCATTGTAGGTGTTTGCATAAACCTCCTAAGACTCAAGGGCAGGCCTGCACTTTCACAGCTTCTGAACAGTTGAACATTAGTGCTGAATCAAATTGACATCTCCAACCACAAGCCTTGGCACATTAGTGGTGTGAATATTTGAATGTTAATGATTGTAAAACAAAGAACCATTGTGCCCAAAGCCTGAATGCTGTTTCAGGAAGCCAGTAGATCCTTGCACTAGGCAGCTTATATTGTCTTTGTACAACCAATGATAGCCTTCTAGAATCATTTACACTTCCCCTGCCCATCCTACTGTAGGCTACTTGAGAGACTCACAGGTAAATCTGCCTTCAACACCACTTCCCACCTGCCCAACTCTTCAGTACTGTACTGAAAAGATTAGCACCTAGAAAGATGTGCCACCATCTTGTAAGAGCAGCCCACTCTCAGCCTACCCAGACCATCCAAACTCCTGGTGCTGCTGGTCCTCTGTACACATCTGTATGATGAACAAGCTGAGGTGTTGTCAGGCTCAGAACAACCACCCCTCTTTCAACTTCATCAGTGTCCAGCTCCAGGCCTTCTCTCCACTGAAGCACTCCGGGTTTTCTTTAGTGCAAATTTCTAAGCACACACACAGGGTGGGTTGGTCTCCCAGTCATGGGCCAGCAGCCTCAATATGTGTGACTTCTCTGGACGTGTTATCCAGCAGCACACAGTGACAGAGTAAAGTCCGTGTAGGGGTGACACAGTTACTGCAGTAAGTGAAACCAGAGTTTTGAGATGGTGGGATGTTTAGAGAGAACATGGGGCTGCTAAACTTTAGGAGCTAGTCAGAGGTCAGAAGTTAGGGAAATAGTTTGTAGCAGAGACAAAAAACACAACAACAACAAAACCATTGAAATGTTAGAGTTGATGCCTGCATAGCACATAGCAATTTTTCTTGGAGAGCCTCTTGGAAGCTCAGATTCATACAGGATGATAGGATGTTTACTGAAGATATTGTTGTATGTCATACTAACATGAATTTAAATGAGACATTGTAGTTGTGGTGCTTAGTATGATACCACACACAACACACACACACACACACACTTGCACTCATGAACCATGTAGTAGCCAACACATGCCAAAGCCTAGGCATTCAACATCCTAACCATAGCAGCTTCCATATCGTATAGCCCAACCATTCAACAACCTAACCATACAACAACCTACTACATACCATGGCCTAGCCATTCAATTACTTCATGGTGTGATCTTATAGACACAGAACAGCCTTGCCATTCAATGCTATAATCATATAGCAGCCTAGACATACAAAAAGCCTAACTATCTAACAGCTTAACCATATTTTTCCTGGAGCTGCCCATACCCTCCTCACAGCCTGAGAAGCACGCACTGACAGAGCCATCCTCCTAAGCAGTCTGGAACCTGTGGGGGGGCAATTGCAAAGCACAGAATTTCTTGCTATATTTTACTAGTTCCACTATTTTATTTGAAAGATAGAGGTTAAGAACATCCCATAAGCCATCCCACTTTTGTTCTGGGTGTTCAAGACTGAGTAAGATGTTGCTGCCACCTATAGGTCATCTCCACTGTAGCTTGTCCCAGCATCTGATTACTAACCATTGCCTCAGCGCCCTCATGGATTGGGGCCTTGCCCAGCCATCATCAGAGAGGTCTTCCCTGGCAGCTGATGGGAGCAGAGAACCACAGCCAAACATTAGGTACAGAAATCTCAGACTGGAGATCTCCTTCTCCATCAGGGCCCTCCCCTTGAAGCTCAGGGAACCCAAAGAAAGAGGGAAAGAAGAAGCCAGAGGACTCGAGGACACCAGGAAAACATGACCCACAGAATCAACTAAGCAAGACTCACAGAGCCTGCATGGGTCTGTGCCATGTCTTTGGCATATATGGTTGTTATATTGGTGGTTTTTTTTTAATGTTGTGTGGGACTAACAGTGAGAGCTGTCTCTGACTATTGCCTTCTCTTGGGACCCCTTATCCCCTAGTCTTATTGTATCTTGTTATGCCGTGTTCACCTGATTTCCTTGGGAAGCCTGCTGTTTTCTGAAGGGAAAAGAGTGGATCTGGGGGGAGGGGTCTGGAGGAGTGGAGGAGGGGAAACTGTGGTGGGGATGTATTGAAAATAAAAAGAAAGGAAAAGGAAGGAAGGAAGAGTAGGAGAGAGGGAAGGAGGGAGGGAAAGAGGAAAGGGAGAGAGAGAGAGAGAGAGAGAGAGAGAGAGAGAGAGAGAGAGAGAGAGAGAGAACAGGCAGCTTACACCTTTGCCAAGTGAGGTCCTTTGAGCCTGACATCCCTTCCTGAAATAAGGCCTGTATTTCCACATCCATCTGGACACAAATCGTATCCCTTACCCTGTCACAGAGAAGATGGAAGAGGCCTCTCTACCACGGGGCACTGCCCTTCCCAAGACAAAGATTTGATGTGCTCCTTAGAAAGGAGCTAATGTCCCATCACCACAAAGCTCCCCTGACCTGGCTGACCTTTCCCTTCTTCTGAACAGTGGCCTAAAAATGGGCTGGGACTTTCAGCCTTCAGCACTTAGCTGTCTGGAGACTTTCTTATGTTTACAAACGTGAAGAAAGGAAGGGGACCATTTGTAAAGAGGCCCATGAGGTTGGGAGGCGACAGACGATTTCTTCCCGGAGGACTGGACCTTCCTCCTGTGTGCCCAGTGCCTTCTCAGATGTAACAAGAGCTAATTTAAGGAAAAAGATCTTGAAGACCATTAAGATATGGGTGTTTCTACATAGCTCACATGTTAAATCTTTATTATATCAATGTTAAGATAAATACTTAGATTTGAAATTGGTTCAAGCAACTCTTTCGAACACATAAAAATATGAGTCATCCTGAGACTCACAGACTTCCTGGCCATTGGGGTTACAACAAACATGTCAAAGCATGTCAACACCACCACCATCAACAACAAACCTGAACCCCCAAAATTGGTGGTAAAACTTGTCAACCTTGGGACTGTGGAGTGACACCATTGAAGAGACAAGGCCTAGGATTAAATTCATTGCTCTTATGCAAAATAGGAACTTAGCTGGTTAGCTTCATGCCAGAGTGTACTGTTTGAAGAAGTGTTTACATTTCATAATTTCATCTGACAACGTGTGATAAATTGTGCCTTTGAGAAACTGTAATTTCTTTCAGAACACTTTGAAGGAGAATTTAAACATTTCTCTGCATAATCACGACAATTCCTAAGACAACTGAGCTCTTTTGTTGGGTGGGGAATCAATATCTAAGCTAAGGAAACCCACCAACCTTTCTAAATGAACAAGGCAATCAGAGTAATTTCTAGTGATGGATGGGGGTTCCCATGGAAAAAAATATAGAATATCCTTGGAGATTTGTCTAGACAAGAAACCAAAGTGGAAAATGGGGTGGGAATAGGACAGAGGTTGTACCAATAACAGAGAAAGGCCATTAGAAACCAAAACCTTCCTGCTGCTGTGCAATAATTGAGTGGCTGTGGAAGGGCAAGGTAGCCACACTGGTCCAGTGTGCTGATAATCTTGCCACAGCTGTTCTCAGGGTGAAAGTGGCAGGAACTTGACAGCCCCAGTCATTTAACCCTCATTGACAATCTACACGTGAAGGTCTGGTTAGAGAGCACTTTCCCCTGGTATCTGGGGACAGATGATTTGCCTGATGGGCCTCTTATCCATCCTCTTCTGCCATTTATATCACACCAGCTAATGATGACATATGGCAATGAGTGTAACAGGTGACTGCGTAAGTGATGTCGTTATAATATTTCAGATGTACTATAATAGGGAAAAGATACTGCTTTCTATTGCATAATAAAAACCTCCTTTTCACATAGAAGAGGGATGTATGCTTTAACGTTCATGCCCTCGCCTTCATGTGCTAGATCTGTTATAAACATGTGCCTGATGGAGACTGGGAACAAACGGAGGGAATTCTGTGTATTTTGCTTGCAGAGGATCTGCCACCGCTTTGTGGCTTGAAGCCACCAAAGTTGCAGCAAAGGCTTTTGGATTATTAAAAGTCGAAGCCTGATCGTGAGTGGAGGCAGCTAACCTCCTCCTCTCTGTAATTACTGTGTGTCAAGAGGCGTGTGCATCTTACCTGATGGGGAGAATTGCTTTTCCTTACCTTGGGATTCTTACTCCTTTTGTGCAGCTCTGAGGATCTTCAGATTTCTTCTGCCTAGCACATCCAGCAGGGAAGAACAAACAACCTCAGGGCCATGGGTACCCGGCAGGACCTTCTCTTCCAAGTGTTCCCAGATATCTTCTCATTATTTTCCCTCCCTGCTGTGCCAGCCATCATTTCCCTCGACAGCAAAGGCTTCCCATCTCTTTTTCAAGGAGAGGAATTTTCATATAATGCAGCAAGCCTCTGGTCTTGAGAATCATTCTGTCTAATTCAGCAGGTTCACCTTCAGAGTTGGCTTCACTGCGGCTTCCTGCAGTCACTAAACTATAGAACAACACAAATTCATGTAGCATGGTGGGTCATGGCCCCTGGGGCCAGAGGTGTCTGGCTTCTTCCCAACAACCCAAAGCTGTTTTTCTTATTTTATAGCCCCGGCTCTGCACACACCTCACCTTTATCTGTAGGTTATAAAAATGTTCTCACAGGCTAGTAATGAAATGATGTTATCCTCCTTCTCATGTTACCCACCAAAAACGCTGCTCAGAGAGTGAAACCATTCCCAGTCAGAGGCAGGAAGGCAGGCTTTCAAATTTGCACCTGCTGCCTTGGGGTAAGGTGAATGCTGGAGGACTCCTCTTGTCTTTGTCGTAGGAGTCTTTCCGACACCCTGTTGCAGTTTTTCAAATATCCTGTGATAGGGACTGTGCTCATTATACTACAGAGGCAAGTCACAGGCCCCCACAAAGCTTTACAGTGGGGGCTTCAGAAAGACTAGCAATGTGGAATTTCTGGGTTGGAGCTTGGCACTTGGTGCTAGCCTCTAGCAAAAAAAGGAAAGCTGTGGATTGAGTTTACTCTCAAGGCTGGTAATTCACCTAGTCACACCCATATAATCCAACCTTGATAAGATGCTGGCACTGAGGTTCAGTAGAGCTCTCTGACTGGTAAAGATGTGATATACCAGAGATATATCCATGTATCTATCACCTTGTGGGCACTGTGTATATAAAACTAAAATAATTACTGATACAATTTTGCTTGGTTCTGTTGGTCATTCCAGCAAATTATCACACTTAATGGGCATTGTGGGGATTTCCCACCTGATAGCCAAACCATCAGAGGCGTGGCCTGGTGACTCCACCTGCAGCTGGCATGAGAAGCGAGGCAAGTTTTATGGATATGAACCCCAACTGGCAGAGTCAGCACCAACTCTAGGTCGCAAGTGATGGAAAGACATTTCAATGCTTACAGTTTTAGTGGAAATAGGATAATTGTTACTAAGAGTAGTGTTCTGATTTCCACGGACTCCTTAAAATACCAGAAAAGGCTCCTGGACCTTTTTGTTGGACATTATAACTTGAAGCAGTGATGGACTATTTCCTTAATGACAGGTTAGTCAAGTAACATAGGAGATGGCACTCAAATCCCAGACTGCACTGTAGGAAACTGTCCATTATCACTTCCTAGTGAGATGTGTAGACACATAATGCGTAAGCACTTAGAAGCTGATAGTAATTGGCATGGCCGTGGCATTCTGGTACAGAAGGAAACAGAAAAGTATAGCAGCGAGTGGCAATTTGGGCAACAATGATCCTTTACCACAGATAGACAACAAGCTAAATATAGAAAATATAGCTTTCCTTGGTATGAGGAGATTGTTTCAAAGTTTAGTGAGCTCTAGGATCAAGATGAGTTTGTACATAACATTCCTTGCTATACCTGTTATTGAGCATATTGGTTTACCTCTCTGGACATGTTTCTAGTTTTTTTTTTTTTAAAGAATATATGCTTCAACTTCATGTATTCTTTCATGCCAGAAGAGGGCATCAGATCCCACTTTAGATAGTTGTGAGCCACCCTGTGGTTGCTGGGAATTGAACTCAGGACCTCTGGTAGAGCAGCCAGTGCTCTTAACCGCTGAACTATCTCTCCAGCCCCATTTCTAATTCTTGGAAATGGATATGGCAGTGCCTTCTGTCTTATTTAAAACTGAAAAGATAATTCAGGACAAGTGCTAAGTACAGGGCCTGGAAAACAGCCATATACTGCTGGTATTTCTTCTAGGTTAACTTTGTGGCCCTGGCGGCTCAGTCTTAGTTGCAGAAGGACAGGGCAATACTTGAGGGCACTGAAGTCAGCAGGTACTCTGCACAATGTTTACCTTCAGCCATAATCACCCCCATTGCTTTTTCCAGTACCACTAGTGGTGGATTTATGGTGTGTTCCAGGTAGACCATGAAGAATTTAGAAATGCCTACTATCATTGATGCCTATAAAATATGAGCTGAAACTCTGATGAGCTGCTGGCAGATGGGAGCAGGCAACTGCTTCAGTCTCCAACCTGGCCTCACCAAACTAGAATTCTATGTTGGATGCAGAGGGAAGGTGCAGCCATAGGTTCCCCACGAGTGTTCAGGCTGGAATGGCAAACATCTCTAGAGGCTCTTGGGAAAGCCTTTTCTCTCCCAAGGCTCTGCTGAGATGGCATGACCTTGCTAAGGTCAAGAGTGAAGGTAGGCGAGAAGAGAATTCAGCAGTGCTGACTATTCTGCTTTCCGATGTCCCTCTCAATCGATTTTTCATAAATGCTGCCCCAACGATGCCCGAGCCGCTTTCCCACGCTAAACTGTGGCTCCTGTCTTTTTCAGGTTCTGCCCGCCTCGCTGTGCTTTTAGAACTCCAAGGTCTTGAAGTGCTGGCCCCAGAGGTCTGCAATGAAACCGCACTTGAAGCAATGGCGACAACGAATGCTCTTTGGGATATTTGTTTGGGGGCTTCTCTTTTTGGCTATCTTCATCTACTTCACCAACAGCAACCCTGCTGCTCCTGTGCCCAGCTCCTTCTCCTTCCTGGAGAACCGTGGGCTCCTGCCTGTGCAGGGCAGGCAGCGGGCCATCATGGGTGCTTTGCAGGAGTCCTCCCTGACCAGGAGTTTGGAGGCAAGCAAAGCACTGCTGGGCAACCACCCTGCCAGCCCCTTCCACAGCGGGCCTGGGGACCCACAGAAATGGGACCAGACCCCAGGTGACTTTGACAATGGGGAAGAGTTGTTTTTATCCCAGGTCGGGAGGAAATCGCAAAGTGCTTTCTACCCAGAGGAAGACGGTTACTTTTTTGCTGCTGGCCAGCCAGGGTGGCGCCGTCACACGCAGGGCGCCCTGGGACTGCCCTCCCCGGGGGAGCCATCGCGGCGGGCTGGACCCGTCCAGTACAAGCGGGAGAAGCTTCACCGTTCGAGACGGAGCCGCGTGCCTGAGGACGCCTACGACGGCGACGTGCTGTCGGCCTCCATGTCCAGAGCCTTCCTGTACCGGCTCTGGAAGGGGACCGTGTCCTCCAAGATGCTGAACCCTCGCCTGCAGAAGGCCATGCGCTACTACATGTCCTTCAACAAGCACGGAGTGCGCTTCCGCGGGCGGCGCGAAGTCCGGCGCACGGGGCCCGAGTTGCTCTGCGAGCTGCGCAGGCGCGTGCGCGTGCGCACGCTGGACGGCAAAGAGCCACCCTTCTCGGCGCTGGGCTGGAGGCCGCTGGTACCTGGGGTACCTCTAAGCCAGCTCCACCCGCACGGCCTGCGCACCTGCGCCGTGGTCATGTCCGCCGGGGCCATCCTGAACTCCTCCCTGGGGGAGGAAATTGGTGGGTCCCGCGGGCCTGTGGCTCCTTTCTGAGTCCTTTGAGCTTCTAGTTCCAGGATGGGCATGTATGTGCCCAGGATGCTGGGCAAGCTTCATCCTTCATCCCTCACACCGTGGTCTGTGTGAACAGACGGCCACGAGGGGGGAGGGGCAGGGGCATCAGGTGGGAATAAGGGAGAGGAGGAGAAGGTCAAGGATGCTGGAGGTTGACCTCATGGGTGCCAGCCTTAAAGTGAATGGCAATGATGATACTGAACTCTCAGGGACTAAACCCAAGTCTAGGGCCACTGAGGGGAGCCAGGCTGCTACTGAAAACAGTTCCCAGACAAATGTGACCTCTAGTCCTGGACTGTTCTATCAGCCTGACCTTTGGGTTACAGCCCGTGTGCATAGTGGGGGCCATCTCCAAGATGATGAGCAACATGACCATACTCACACTGCTCTCTGTCCTCAAACGCTCGTGTATTTGCCGAACACGGGTTTCATACAGTCTCTGTGGATCAATAGCATACCGAGATGGAGGGACAGAGTTACAGGATGTGGCTGAGCTTGCAAGTCTGAAGTTTGTAGGACATGCGAACAGGTGAGGGACATCAGGCAGTTTTGATGGTGCAGTCCTTTAAAACAATACTTCGAAGGTTTATTATTATTTTATGTATATGCCTGCAGTCAGTGGGGCCCTGAAGAGGACCCCAAATCTCCTGGCCCGGATTTAGGGAAGGTTGTGAGCACTGTGTAGGTGCTGGGAACTGAACACTGATCCTCTGATTTTAACTGCTGAGCCATCTCTCCAACCCTTCTATGCTGCGTTTTTGAGGCAGAGCCTTTTGGGATACCTCTGTGTATGTTCTTAGGGCCTTCAGCTGATTGGGTGAGGCCCGGTACAATGTGCAGAGTAATTTCCTTTTTAAAAAAGAAAACCTCGAAGTGACTACCAGATCTCATAGCACAGTCAGGTTGACATGTAGTGTCAACTGCCATAGCTTTCTGCCACCTTAAAGTAGAATATTAGGACTGGAATCTCTTGGTTGAAGGGCAAGGGGTAAGGTTGCAGCAAGTATATTTGCCACCCCAGAGTCTAGATCCTGCCATAGGAGGGCTAACATGGGCTCACCAACAGAATTCTCAATTCTTGGTTGATAGCCTTAATTCCCCCATCCTTCTTTGCCAGGGAAGGTATCTACCGTTCTTCCTTGCCCCTCCCCCAGCTCTTCTCTCCCTGTCAATTTTATACCCTTCCCTCTAGGACCCCTCTGATCAGGTTGAATCTATTGCTGTCTCCCTAAGCAAGCTTAGGCCATTCATTCATTTCAGAAGCATGTGTTTATCCCCCAACTAGTTCTCTGCTGGACACAGACTACAAATGTGGCTGAAACATAACCTCAATCTCAAGTCTTGATGCAAAAGATCAGCCACTACAGTCTCTAAGTCACTAGTGTGGAAGTGACATTCAAGGGGACCATTGCATCCTCTCCACAGAGAAGCAACTATTGAATGTATTCTTCTAAACAGATCTGTGTCCTTGAAGAGTGGTGGTGTCCTGCAACCAACTTGGAATGGCACACTCAGAAACTCCCTCAGCTCAGCTGTTTCTTGGGAATGAGACTGAATGGAAATTCTTGTTGTTTTTTTTTAAGTTAAAAACCCAGGGCAACAAATATGGCCTTGTGGTGTGAGGTTCCCATGTCTCCATTACATCAGGCTCATAATAATACTGTCCATGCGTCACATAAGCTTGTAGCAAAACCCAGAGCAGAGCAGCCTGCAATTTATTAAGAAAGAACAGTGGTTTAGAGGTCCCCAGGGTGAAATAACACCACAGCTCTTTCTCATTTCCAAGGACCAATATTAATAATGCAGAAGGGGAATTTAAGTATTATGCTTTGAAGCAGGCAGTCACTTATTTCTGGTTTTGTTTAGTTTTAAACACCTCTGCCTCGTAAATACATAGTGTTTGAATGGCTCTTGCATACCAATGAGAAATCTCTGCCCCTCCTTATTTTTCCTTGCCTTAAGGATCATGACTAGAGCCTTTAAAACTCTATTCACAATTTGGAAGAGGGCGTGAAAGTCACTTAGAGTCATATTTCTGAAGGAGATGAAAGGTCACTGTTACATATTTGTTAAGTTTCTAGTATCCAAATTTAATTTCAACTGTGAGGTCTCATGATTAGGATTGTAAAGTCAGAAAAGAAGAACAGGCTTAAGGAATTTGAAGGTTTGTTACCTTGGCTGGTTAGTTGCTTCTGTCTTGTTCGGTCTAGGTTCAGATTTCATGCCTGGTATTTTTAAGTCTTGGAAACATAGGTTGCTCAGTTTGTATAAACAGAAAGCTGTTCACCTTTGTAGGCTGGTGTGGCAGGACCAATGCTGTACATGCCAAGGGCTGGTCTCTCTACACCCTGCTTACTGAAGTTGATATTGCAAACCCACACAGTCATTAGTGGTTCTCAAAGCAAAACCAGTCTTGTGGAGTAGATTTTAGATTTCTTCATGTACCTTGGAATGTGGGAGCACAATGAGGCCAACCTCAAGTTGCCCCCTCTGGAATGGCAAAGTGAAGATAAAAAGAGTTGCCAAAAGTTGACATAGTAAAATATTTAAAGTGTGCCCAAAGTAGTCCTATGCCATAGCCTACCCTTAGCTCTGTCAAAATAGCTCCCCAGCTAAGGTCTGCTATTCCTTTATTTTCCCAGAGGTAGACCCAGTTAAATCTGTTTAATGCTTGGCTACCTTTCGGCTCCCCCAGGTGTTTGATTTGTGGACATTGAATCCTCCTCCCATGGCCTAATTATGTTATACTATGTCCTATGGACCAGTTGTTGTGCATTAGAAAGGTATAGTGGTAATAAAATGCTTTCACTTTGAATGTGTAACCTGAGCTGTTTTGGAAACAGGGAACATTCCTTCCTGGAGTTATGAGACAGTCTCTTGCTCTTGTCATCCATACAACAAATGACAACAATTTGCTGGTCATCCCTGACAGTTCTGTGGCAGTCCACCATAGGAATAAAAAGGGACTGTGGGGAGACATCACAGTCTTGATGTGCAAGACCTGGGTCTCTTGTTATTGAACAACTAAATACTGTCATGTAACTGGGAGACAGGAGGTAGGGTATGTTGGGGACAGAACCCATAGTAATTTCTGGAGCAGGTCTTGGACTTGGCAAGTTGTTTAACCTTACATTTAAAAAGACAGGAGACTAGCAATTCATGTAGTCATTAAATCATCATTAGATGCTTGGTGATCACCATTTCTCTACCAGATCCTGTGCTTAGCACAAAGATGAATAAGTGACAGGCACAGATTTTAAATCTGTACAATCCTAGGAAGAATCCAGACCACAGACAATTCCAGTATCCCGTGAATGGGGAAAAGACAGAGAAATGCATAGACAGGCAGGGTAGAAATGATGGCAAACCTCTAACCCACCCAGAGGGCTTCTTATTGGTGGTCAGATAGGCAGTCAGGAAAGATTGCTCTGCAGAAGCTGGTCCAGGCCAAGGATCCTGCACATGGTATGAGACTGAAAGGATCAGACCCTCACCCAGTCCCCTGCTTTAGCAGCCATGACAGGCTGCAGAAAAGATCCAGCTGGATGTAGGCTTCTGACTCAGCAAAATGTGCTGAGTTTCTGGCCTACTGACCTTGCCAGGCCTGCCCTTAGTCAGTAGGAGGTCAGTTACCTTCCATGTGGCAAGGAATCAATCAGAAGTTAGCTGGTGGGCTCTGGACATGCGGTATGGGCTCTGAATATGCTTTTATACTGAAAGTGGTGTAACAGTGGTATGCAGAACATAGCACCTGCCCTGGGAGGGAGGGCCTATAGGTCATAGCAACCAGTTGACCAATCAACACAGGACAGGTCGCCCAATCCCAGAAGCTCACCAATCCTTAAACTGTTGCATACCCCTAGACACTCCCCTTGCTCCTCCCAATAATTTCCCCACCTTGCAGCCCCTTTGGGTACTTCTCATGCCAACCACTGTGTTGGATGGACGAGGGAACCAAATTAAGACAGTTAACTCGTTAAACAATAAAAGACTCTTTGCTTTAACATTGGAATGGGTCTCCTGGTGATTTGTGGGTTCAGAATTTGGGCACAAGACTAGCTAAGCTTCAGTGAGTTCATGGGCCAGGAGTAGGCAGGAAAGAAGCTGGCTAGGGAAAGAAGAAGGCAGCCCATGGATACTCTCTCTGGCCCTTACACACAGACTCCATTTACCAATTGCAGTAGCATTGCCAGATGAGAGTGTTTACTGTAGACAAAGACCTATTCTATTACATTTTAACAGTTGTGAAATCAATATCCCTGAGTGGTACATATATTTCCATTTCTAGACAGGACACAGGCATCTGGAATCCACTGGGCAGAACATGGATTGAAGTTGCAGTCTGGGTCTCTAGGAATTAAGGGCAATGATGTCTAGGGCAATGAAACCTAAGTGTGCATGTTCTATTTTAGATACATCATGTGAGCCTGGGTTTGGGGGCCCTGGGAGAAGTCAAGTGCAATGGGCAGGTCAGAGAGGAGAGGGACAAGGTAGGGGGAATTGATAGAGATAATTCATGTCCTATCCCTGCAGGCCATTGTCTGGAGGCTGCATGCTGTGACTGTTTTGTTTTTTATTTTCTGATCAGTACAAGTCAGGAGAAGGAAGAGGGGAGGATGCAGGGCCTGAGACAGGGTTAGATGGTGACTTGGTGCCATGACCTCTAGCATGCCTGTCTGTTCCTTGATGGGCTCTGTGGTTAAGGTCAGCCCAACTCTGCTCTGACCCAGAAATGTCTTCTATAGGAGTGAAGCTTGACTTCATTCACCTCATGCTTACTGTCTAATCTGCTCCATTCCTCTGAATAGGAATGAATGGCATAGCTTCTGAAGATGCATTGCCATGTAGCCAAGTGTGTATTTGCCAAGTGTGTATGGGCAGGGAAGCTGATGGTTTGAGCTTATTGTCCCCTGATCCTATTCACTGACACTTTCCACCAGGTTCAACAGACTCCATCACTCAGCCTTCTTTGTACAAGTGACGTTATGACTCTTGAAACCAACATACTCGTTCCAGAGATATTCCCTGTCTTCTGCCTTGTGATGTTGTAAAATACCATGCACTGGTCCATCTAGGCCAATAAGCATTTAAATGCCTGGATATTTACAAGGATGGTTTGATTAAGTTGGAATTACAGCCAATTTACTTGAATCACACCCACTGCTTAGGACCCTAGGTCTGTTCATCAGATAAAGAGACTGTGTCGCAGGAATGGGCAGCAAGGCTTCCTGGGAGAACTGTGATTGAGGAGTTGGTGTCACAGTTATTCCCCAGTCTTGTCCCCAAATCCTTCTGGGCCCCTCCTACACCAATGACTTGGTGTCTCCCTCTTCTCTCTTGATTTCTTGATGGGCTAGCCTTCAAATGGCCACTTCAAATCTGTGGTTCATCTACAGTTTCCAAGACTCTTTCAGAGATCTACAAAGTAAACTCAGTTTTTGTTTATGTTCCCAAGTCTTTTCCTTTTCAACGTTAACATTTGTACTGGTGAAACAAAAGCAGCGAAGGATAAAACTGTTGTCCTCTGAGCACACATCTGGGGAGGGGCCACTGATGCCACGAATGAAAAATAACGTGACTGGCAGGCCGACTTTAATTATTCAGAGTCAGACACTCAGCAGATTCCTTCTTGGGAGGAATTAAATGAGACTGTCACTCTGAGAAAGATAACTGACAGGGTTTGTTGCAATGATTAAAAAAAATGAAGTGTTCAACCATGAACTTGGAAGCTTCCCACACTTGGAAAACCGATGAGATCCATGGTGTATTAACGAATATGGTCTGTGGATAATTTATAGTGAAACATAATAATATTTAGAATCACTGCCCAACTTGTTTGCAGAGAGTTTTCAAATTAGCATTGAACAGCATTATGAAAGCAAAACAGAATAGATTATAAAATTGCAAGCTAGTTGGATTATTGCATTTATAGCCATTCATTTTTCGTTTAAAAACTTTTCTACTTTGGAAGCTTTATTATTTCAGACACAAATGTGTTACTTTCTACAAGGAAAATAGCCCGAATGGTGAGCATAGACAGCAGACTGCCAGAAAAAAAAAACCCTGTTTTGTATTTCATAATAAAAATAGGTTGTCAGCAATTTATTTGGATCCTCCCCCCCACAAAAAACCCACATTGGCATGCTTTTGAGAGGCCACAATGCAACCAGATCTTAACAAGCTACCACCATTTACCAAGTATGAGTAAACTAACAAAGAATGTTCAGTCTTCTGGAAGAAGTTGAATTTTTTTTATAAGTTTTCAGTCACATCTTGTAGTTTGTGCATGCATTTGTGCATGTGTGTGTAACAAGTCCTGGTGACAACATTAAAATACGGACCTTCTGTTCTGTTTAACACAATTTTTATAGCTCAAACTTTTCGATTTTTATTATGCAGTATGTGATTAAAAGAGAAATAAAGCAGTTCATTGCAAAACTGCAAAGCAGTGCTTAATCCATGGAAGTTCTCAAGGGCTTACATTATCTTTACAGAGCTTAGATTCCTTGAAATCTAGAGATTTGCAAATTTTGTTTTATTTTTCTTAAGAGCCATGTAGTAAATATTTCAGACTTTGTGGGCCGTGAGTCTCTGTTTCAAAGCCAGTTGTGTAAGGCTAGATCTTTTAAGTGTGTCTGTGTACAGCTTTAGTCACTAAAGCCGAGGACGACCACATTTAACCTACAGATCATAGCTTGTCAATTTCTCCAAAATTTTCCCCAAAAGAACAGTATTTTTTTGATGTCCTGACCAAGTACCTCATATGTATTCTTTGTACACAGAAATTGTCAATAAAAGCAGCTATCTTTTAAAATCATTGTTTTAGTGGCGCTTGCCCATTGACTTTTACTCTTTAGTGAGTACAGTGAAGATTCCGAGAAAGGTATAGCAGAACCCTGTTTTATAAAACAGGCTGTCACAAGGCCTTGTGTAGACTGTTGTTAACAGTAAGTACAACATGTGTATGTTCTTGTGACTCCTAGCCATATCAGAAATCTTTGAGTTTGCCTGTCATTCATAACTGCCAGTCACTATGCTTGTGGCAAATTAAACTTGGAATGTGCATGGGATTCTGTTTGTGTTTTGTTTTGAATGTGCATGTCTATGTGTGTCTGTGCATGTGAGTGCAGTAACAGAGGACAGAGGAGATGCTGATCCCCCAGAGCTGGAGTTAGAGGTGACTGTGAGCCACCATGTAGGTGCTAAGAATTTATCTCAGACCCTCTGTAGGAGCAGCTAGTGCTCCTAATCACCGAGCCATCTCTGCAGCCCCCATGCATGGGATCCTTAAAGCTAAAGGTGACCATAGAAATTCCCTTACAGTTCGCACAAAATCCTTGCCCACTGGTGGCACTGGTAGTTTCTCTAAATGCAACGACACCTTGGCATCCACAGTGGGAGATAAGGCTTCATAGAATCCAAGACTGTTTTTCTTTTCAACCTAAACCTTTACTAGAGCAGGATGGAAGGCTGTGGTTTTTAGTTTGGGAGAGAAGGCAGCTAGATTAAATACAGTTCTTACCATGGGTGACCTAGTGACTGTAGCTCTACAGGCTAGGAAGCCTCGGTGAGCTGCCTCTGTGCTCCCAGCATCTTTCCAGCTTCCTCATGTTGTGAAACTTGAAGGGGAGTAACTGCATGAAGTATGATACTTGTATGTAGTATAAAGATAATAACAAGTATCTAAATGTAACTTAGGCAAAAGGGGTCACCTGTAATCAGCTGGCCTTCTATATATGTATAGGTATACACACATAGTAATTTATCAAGAAACAAGAAGACATAGCCCAAGGAATGTATCATTAGGTAACTTTGCCAGTAGTGGGTAACATAGAGTGTACTTAGAAAAAGAAGATGTTACAGTTACTCTTGGGGCCACATTTGTAACTATCTGTGGGCTGGTGTCAACCGGTGTGTCCCAGTGCTATGTGACTCTTGAGATTCCATGTTAATGTCCCTAGCCAAGTTGTTATCCTAAATCAGCAACAAGTTATCTAAAAGTCTGGGTATGTGTATATAAACTTTATTAGTGGTTTCTAAGTTTCAGATATTGCAAGACTTGTTTTAATGCTTTTTTCCCTAGATTATGTGATTTCACAGAGACAAAAAATGTCACTTATGTGCCCTTAGATTCTCATGATGCAGTTTTGAGATTTAATTCTGCCCCTACACGTGGCTATGAGAAAGATGTCGGAAATAAAACCACAGTACGCATCATTAACTCCCAGGTAAGATGGATGGAGTGTTTTCACTGGTATATTTTGCAGGCAAATCATTTAAATGAGTGAATAGGAATATCGTTATCCATAACCACATTATCTTGCTATTTCTGTGGATCTTTTAAGTGTGAAGAATTAGTGAAGAAAAATGAAGGAGGGCATTTAGATGTTATTTGAATACGAAGAGATGAGAAAGACCAAGAGAAAACTCAGATTAAGCATAGAGAAAGGATTTTTATTTATGTGTGTGTAACATTTTGTTATCATAGCGTAGTGGGTCTCAACCTTCCTAAAGCTGTGACCCTTGAATGCAGATCCCTGTGTTATGGCGACACCTGGTCATAAAGTTATTTTCACTGTGACTTCCTAACTGTAATCCTGCTACTGTTAGGAATGGTAATTTGGGGAGTTAGAGGTTTGTCAACGGATTCATGGCCCACAGTTTGAGAACCACATGAAACATAAGCGCTCTCAGGATATCTTTGAAACTTCAATTTGTGACATTGAAATTTTGAAAAATGAAAGTAAGTTGCTTAATGGGACATGAAAATACCCCCTTTTCTTCATGTTCTTAATGTCTTTCAAATCTATGGAAAAGATTATTCTCAGAACAAACCACAATCTCTAATTTCCAAAATATGTAGAAAAATGAGATGCTACATGATTTATGGTGAGTTGCTCGCAGAACAAGCTATTAACACTCTGCATGGTTCACTGCACCAGTGAACTGTGGCGAAGTAAAAACAATTACCATATTTTCTTAATTCATATATGTCACTGGCGGTAAGGTCTACATTTTATTTAGTAATTTCTCAGAATGTGATAACCCCACCAAATTACAATACATGTGTCCTGTAAGATACATCATCATTGGTGATGAAAAATGTATCTTCATAATGGTGAAAAAGTTTAACCAATTGAGAATTTCATACATGCATGAAATGTGTTTAGATCAAGCCCACCCTCCAGTTCCTTCCCAGTTTACTTTCTTTTTTGCTTTACAAATCACAAATTCCACCTAGTGCAGGATATATGGATGCAGAGCAAGGCTCTTTTGGAGCCTTAGTGGTGTCTCGGAAACTACATTCCTGAAAACAGCTGGCTCTCCCTTCTCAGAAACGGTCAATTGCTAATAGCTCCTCAGATGGGGTGGGGCTTCATGTCTACTACCCTTCTCTGTCACCCTTCTTTGTCTGGCTTCATTTTGTGCATGCTGTCACAACTACTGTCTGTTCAAATGAGTGACTGTGCCATTGTATCCGGAGAACACTGTTTCTGTGGAGGTGTCTACTGTGTCTGGCTCTTACATTCTTTTCACCCCCTCTTCCGCAGTGATCCCTGAGCCCTGGGGAGATGAGGTATGATGTGTGTCTCATTGAGTGCTGGGCTTTCTGAAGTCTTGTATTCTCTACATATTAACCAGTCATAGTTCTCTGTGTTAATCACCATCTACTGCAAAAAGAAGCTTCTCTGTTCAGGGTTGAAAGACGCATGTGCCTATGGGTATAACCGCATGTATATTAGGAGACAGATTGACACTATTTAGCAGAATAGTAGTAGATTCTCCCCTAGGGCCTACCTATCATAAACTCCCAACCCTGTTACTTGTACGAGGCAAGAGTTTAACATTTTATGGAGTGGGCCTGAAATCCAGTGAGAAAGTCGTTTGTTATTCCCAGAACTTTCATGCCACTATTGCACAAATAGGCACATCATTACTTAACTCCCAGGGTTCCCATCTGGGTGAGACTGATGATAACTTCACCTGCGATGGCATGCCTAATACCTCAGAGCGCTGTGAAAGCTAGTCAGTAGGGACGAAACCTCCAGTGAGTGCCAGGCTGCTTCTTCATGTCTTCTGACAAAAGTCTGTGGTGTCTTCAGTACGAGGGCCTTACCATCAGTTTCTAGAGGGCAACCAAGTACAGAGGCTGTAATTTAAAATTGTTGAGGGTCAATGGAGTGACACTGACCAAAAAAAAAAAAACCCAAACAGGTAACTCATTTGCACTTGGCTTCTTTTTTGATAGCCTGTGGTGTCTGGGAGAAACATTGCCCTCCCCCATTGTAAGGTAGCTCTATTTAAAGCCTTTATATATGTAATTTATATTTTAGGAAGCTTCTGCAGTCGTAGGTCTCAATAAGACATTTTCAAAGGGGTTACCCCTAGTTATCCCCTACACACATATCATTCTATAGCCTGTCTTCCTGTCCCCCACCTCACTTCTTGCTCCATTATTCCCTATACCCCCTTCATGCCATCTGTGTTCTCTCACCCGTCTCCCATGATGTCTTCCTGGGTTTCTGACTTCTTTAGGTACTCCAGTCTCAAAACCCACATCTAGAGATTCAAAGCTAGCATTCGTATGTGAGAGAGATCCTGTGATGGGTTTCGACAACTCACTAAGAATGATTATTTCCCCATTTATCTACAAATCACAATGTTTTTCCTTAACAGCTGAATAGTAGGCCATTGGGCATGTGTACTCTGTTTTCCTTATTCATTCATCAGGTGATGGACACCTAGGCTGTTTCCTTCCTGACTTACGAATACAGCTGTGATGAACATGGCTGACCACATATCTCTGTAGTATAGAGTCCTAGGGTATATGCCCAAGTGGGTTAAAGACTAGATCTATATCTAGCCTGTTGTGGACCCTCCACATTGATTTTCATAGTGTCTGCCTGTACCCTTTTGCAATCCCATCAACAATTGAAGATTTTCCATCTGCCCACACCCATGCTTGAGGTTAACTTTTTAAAATGCTATTTGAGCCATTCTCACTGGGGTAACATGAAATCTCAAATTTAACTTGCGTTTCTCTTATAGCTAAGGATGTTGAACTTTTTTTTTAATGTTCTCAGTTATTTGTATTTCCTCTTTTGAGAACTCTGCTTAGTTCCATGCCCCAATTTTTAATTGGATTGCTTGTTTTTGTGGTTTTCAGTGTGTTTTAGCTCTTTGTTGCTCTAGACACCATCCTTCTGTCAGATGTATAGATGGTAAAGATTTTCCCCTCTTGTTTAGGCTGATGCTTCACTCGAGTGATGGTGTCATTTGCTGTACAGAAGCTTTTCAGTTTTATTAGGTCCCATTTGTCAGTGGTTGGTCTTAATGCCTGTGCTTGATAGCTTTTAAAAAAGATGGATGGCAGGTGAAATTGATGGATCCATCCAGAAGGAGATAGGACCTGGGAGGAGGGGCAACAGCTGACACCTCCTAACTCAATTCTGCCTGTTCCATACCTACCCCTGTCTCATGTCACGCATCAAAGGTAATAAGGAGACTGGGAGACTGAATTAGCTGGGGAGCTTCATCTTGCAAGGGATTGCCGGCATCCAGAGCACTAAATTAGGTGCAGACTTGATGAAAGTGGAGAAAACTGTGGGCTCGCTTTTGCTTTATTTAAAAAGAAAAGGAAAAAATGTCTTTAAATGTACTTTATTTGCTTTACCACGTGATACCAGCCTTATGCCCTCTCCCAGAGGAAAATATAAAACCGGAGCCTTGCTCTCATTCAGCCTTTTACTTGTGACTTGTTTTAAAAACATAACTTTGAAAAAGCAAACACTAGTCATTAAGAACTTTTTTCCCTCCCCTTGTGTGCTTACAGATTCTAGCCAACCCCAGCCATCACTTCATTGACAGCTCCTTATATAAAGATGTTATCCTGGTGGCCTGGGACCCAGCTCCTTATTCTGCTAATCTTAACCTGGTGAGTATTTCCTTGATGACATGGACCATGGGTAGGACAGTGTCTCTGAATAATTTCCCTTAAGAAATTGCAGGTCAGTGATGGGTACTAACTCACGTGTGTACCATACACCTTTCAGTACCATTTGGTGTAGCAGCATAGCTGCCTTCTACTATGTATGGTGCTTTTTCTCTGAGAACTAGAGAAAGCATAGCATATGTAAAGGCTGAGAAAGCTGTAGTTATACCAAAAAGGAGGCTGATCAAACCAACAGTAGTTCCAAAATCATAGGTTGGTAACAAGAGCTTTGGAAATGAACTCAGTGTGGTTGACAAAAACAAAACTAAGTTGTTCATTGTTGCTTAAATAAATAAAGACTGTCCCTGATTTTCTTAAGGATGCTTCTCATTGGCTCTTTCTGAATGGGTTAAATTTATGGAATAACCACCAAATACAAGCAAGTTGTATGTTTTACCTCATGGCAAACTGTTACCTTCCTAAAGGAGAAACTAGCTGTGTTGGATGGAACAGTGTATGAAAAGCCAGTAGGCTTGTAAAATGGATGATAGTCATGTGTTAGTTCGCAATGCTGTTGGCTGAATGAGTAAGTGTCATGACTTGATTTACCCAAACTGGGGAGCATACAGCCTTCTTCAAATGGATGTGGGTGAAATGTGGAAAATCTGCTTTCAAAACACACTGCTTGAGTACCAGGAGACCAGCATACTGTAGTGTGAACCAAACCTTTCTACAGTTCTCGTCATCAAGCTGGAGTAGAACATAATAGTCCTGTCAGCCCCACTGCTGTGACTCCAGCTGACCATGGAGACCCCTGGCCCACGGCCTCTCCGCTTTACTCTCTGACCTCTTCCACAAAATGCCCGCCACCTCTTAGCTAGCCCCAGGTCTCATTGTTTTGTGAATAATTCATCATTGGGAGAGATCGGAGGAAGGAAAGGGAAGGGGAAATATGTCATTGTAATAACAAAAATAAAAGAAATAATTAAAAGATAAAGCATTATTCCTGCCAGGGTTAGAACTGTGATCTCTGATTGTACTTCCCCAGGTAATTGGATCCTTCCCCTCTCTCCAGCTCCAGGCTGGCCCATGACCCTCTTAAGTACCCCCCCCCCCCCTCAGACCTCCACAGTGCTGTTTCCTTTCACAACATGATCTTCTGTTCTGAATTCCAGTTGTTTTTGTTTGGTTTTAGTGGTATAAGAAGCCAGACTACAACCTTTTCACTCCATATATCCAGCACCGCCGGAGACACCCAACTCAGCCATTTTACATTCTTCACCCCAAATTCATATGGCAGCTTTGGGACATTATCCAGGAGAACACTAGGGGAGAAAATCCAGCCCAATCCACCATCTTCTGGATTCATTGGTAGGTGTGTCTAGAAGTTGATAATTGGTTGTGTGTGACTTGTATTGTGTTTTTCAGCCATGTTTATGGTTTTGCCCCATTTCTCCATTTATGTTGAGGCTTTTCACCCCATTTATACTATATTTCCTGTATAGGGTATATGAAGGCATGTCTTGATGCCCTGGGGAAGATGACAGGCTGTAACTGAACCAAAGGTATTGACTTTGTTGTCTCTCTAAGTTTACTAAATGTATAGTATTCCTTGGTCTGCACACAGGGTCTCCATCAGAAGAGGGGAGATTTGTAGAGACAACAATGGCTTCATTTAAATTAAGGACACAGTATCCTCAAGTGAGGCCTGGAGCTTTTGGAGTAGATTACAGCACCATAGTGATATGAAATATTTTATATAAAATCCCAGGAAAACCTTAGTGTGACTATTTTAAGGTAATGCCTCAGATAGTTTCATTTGAAATCCCCAATTCTTTTATAATTTTATTTACATAAGATTTTTAAAATTTATTTTAACATACAGACCACAGTTTCCCTTTCATCCTTCCCTCCTCCCCTCCCTTTCCACCACTTCTCCTCTGTCTCTATTCAAAAAGGGGCAGGTCTCCCATGGGCTTGAACAAAGCATGGTACATCAAGTTGACACAGAACCAAGCTCTTCCCCTGAATCAAGACTGGCCAAAGTAGTCCAGCATGAGGAACAGGTTCCCAAAAGCCAGCTAAGCACCAGGGACCGGTCCTGATCTCCTTGCTAAGAGCCTTACACAGAGGCCGAGCTACACATCTGTCACATACATGTAGAGGACCTAGGTTGGTCCCTTGCAGGCTCCCTATCTGTTAGTCCCAGGAACTCTATGGCTTCCCCTGTCATGCCCCACCACCCCATCCCCCACTCCCGCCCAGCTTGTACAATACTATTTTTCTAAAGTCCTGTGGATTTAGGAAAGGAAATTTAACCCGGTTTTCAGCAGAGACTAAATGTGTTAGAACAGTGATTAGAGCACATAAGGGGATACCACAGTCAAGTTTAATAAAGTCTGTTTTCATATCATCACCATATTTGATAAAGGCAAGAATTATAAAGCAGAGTTGACCGGGGGGGAGGGGGGGGCCGGGAAGGGGGGGCAAAGGTAACTAATAGAGATAGAGATTCAAGGTTTGAAAGGCTCAGCCAGATGGTTGTAGCCATGGAAGGTAATTCCCAGACTGAAGAGAAGCTCGGACCACAAGGGCAGCTCTCCCAGGGGCTGTTCATTGTGGATGTGGGGTTCTCAAAGACCCAGCGTTGGCCTTGTGTCAGGAAGTGAGCTACAAATTCATTGCCATTGCAACAGAGAAGGCTGGGAATACCTAGGTTTGTGTTTGCATTCTTCTCTGCAACTTGAAGGCATTGAACCTTAAGTTGCTTAATGCTGTGGTCCTCAATACACTCGAATGAGACGTGTAATAAAGTCTCTTAAAGGACGAAGCAGGGTAGATAGCTGACCAGCTGCAGCTGCTGTTTTCCAGGGTTGCCTGTGCTCAGTGCAGCATCTGTTAGCCACGTGACTGTTTACATTTCAATTAGTTCTAATTAAATAGAAAATAGCATCCGTTTCGGAGGCTGACCAGCCCTATTTCAGGGACTCGACTGTGGCAGCCTCCTGGTGGCTACCATATGAAACAGCACTATAGGGAGTCTTTTCATTGTCCCAGGGCCATGGTAGAGAGCACTGCTAAGTTTTGCCAATGAAAAGAAACTGTAACACAGCAAATTGGTAAGAAAACATGGGTTCCCACCAGGCCCTCTGTGCTATGTGGATGGAGATCCAGGGGCAATAGAGGACTTCTGTGTCATTAGATTCAGTCTCTGAGTCTAGGCCTCACCTTCCTGAAGGGTGTGAGATTCTCACCACAGTGGGCAGTGGCAACAACGTGGGTAACCTTTACCAGTGCCCTCTGGGCATCCCCATGCTGTTGTGGTCTTTATACTTCCTCTTTGACCTGGATGAGATGGAGTTGACCTGTTCAGTTTACTGGATGTTCTCAAACAGATGGGACTGATGCCAACCACATCTCAGTCTCTCTCCCATGACAACTTCTGTGACATCAGTGAGGAGGGCTGTTTTGTTTTGTTGCTGTGAGATCAAAAGTATGCTCCAGATACCTTTTTCCTGCTCTAAAGTCCCGCTGAAATGTTGACTTGGTTACTCAACATCTGTTACCCCTAAGTGCTGCAAGCTCCTGAACAAAACCAATTTCAGAGGGACAAAGAGGGTTAGAATGTTTTACTGTATGCTTGGCACTGGGAACTGGTCAGCATGGAGGTCCCCATCCAGAGATAGCCCAAAGCAGGGTCTTCCTCATCTTGCTCTGTGTTCCTGTCTGGTACTCCGCTGGGTGAAGCCGAGAGAATCACTTTCTTCACTAACTGTTATCCATATATAAGGAGTAGCTTCGTGGTTGATTGCTCATGCAACAGACACAGCCTGCATTTTCTTAAGCATGCTGAAGAGTTTGCACAAATGAAATAGAGAGACCTCATACATCTGGATTCCGCATCCATGGATTCAAATAGCCACTAACTGAAAATATTTTTTTAATTACATCTTTTCTGAATACAAGACAAGACCTTTTCTCTTGTCTTTATTTCGCAAGTAATAACAACTATTTATATTACCTATATGTTGTTTGAGGTATTTTAAGTCATCCAGAGATACATAGAGCATATGGAAAGATATATGGAATGCTGCAACATCTTGTAAGTGGCTTGAACATCTTTGGATTTGGGTATCTGCATGGGGCCCTTGGTCCAATTCCCCAGATACTAAGGAATGACAGTATTTGGTGAATGAACACAGACTCTCAACGTTTAGCATGCCTCACATCATCCATGAGTTTCCTATATTAGTAATCCATTTCTGCAAAGCAAAACTCAGCAACTGAAAACAATGATTGGTATGTATAACCTCACAGACCTGTGCAAGCCAGTAATCCAGGGACAGATTGGCTGGGTGATTCTTAGTCTCTCCACAGCTTGTAACCACCTGTTTCTTCTAGCTATATTCCTTCTGTTACACAAGTTGGTAACCTTGCTGTGACAAGGGGACCGAGACAGGACAGGCAGTCAGGAACCAGTGAGAGCCAGTTTAGAGGCTAACTGCAACAGCGTTTTAAACCAAAGGTCCTGAGTAAGTGGAGGAGGTTGGGATTTCTGTTTCTTATAGTCTCACAGAGCACTGATGCTGGTTCTGGGGTATTTACATCCCCACTCTCTCCGCTCCATAGGAAAAATATCAAAGTTGCAGGGAACTGTAAAAGCCTAGTCCGCATGTTCTGTACTGACTGTCAATAAGGTCACAAGCTTGGATGCTGTAAGGGGACCCAGAGTTCCAACCCACTCTGCTGCTTATCACTTAATTATGGTAATAATTAAACACAAGTGGAATAATTTTTATTTATGTTACTTTAAATAATACAGGATTCTGCAAAATACAATATGCATCTTTATCTTTTGAAATGGTGTAGCATTAAGCCTTACATTCTGGCCCTACTAGATGTTCATGGCATTTGTATTCCTTTCTTTAACTCACAAATGGGCAAAGAAAATTCAAACATAAACAGCTATCTATGCCCCTGTTTGTACTGGTACATATTTCTTGTACATAGTGTTTCTTTGAAGTCTGTTTGCTTTGCTCTCACCTTCTTGTCCCCGCTCTAGTCCATGGCCTGTCTGCTTCCTTCCCCTCGTCTCTCTTTTGCTTTCATACACACTGTTTCATGTGTCTATAAAATATATAGGCTCCACAAATGATAGAAACTGTGTACAACCAGGATCCTCCGGAAGACCAGAGATCCAGTAGAATGAATGTTCGCTGTTAGGTTGGTTTACACAGCAAGAGGCAGATAGTTCAGTGACAGCAAAGTGTTAGTGGGAAGAGATGTCTGGAAGATCTGCTCTTGTGCAGGCTGCCTGGCGGGTCTAGAGCTGTGTCAACACTGGGACTGCGCCCCCGTGAGGGAACAAGTCATTTCCCCCGTGCTTTAGAAGCTGCACGTTCTCTCACAATCAGCTTCTCCTGTAGAATCCATTTGGAACAAAAGTGCTTTATTTACAGCTGAGCACATTGCACTTTAGAACTTCTCCACACCTCAGTGTTGGGAAATTATCTCATTCAGAGGTTTGCAGTTCATGTATGTTGATTTCATCAAAGCTAAGCATTTATTATCCTTTCAAAATAATAAAAATGGGCCTAGAGAGATGGCTCAGCAGTTAAGAGTCCCCATTACTCTTGCAGAGGACTTGGACTCTGTTCTCAGCACCCTCATGACAACACACAACCATCTGGAACTCCAGTTCCAGATCTGATGCCCTCTTCTGGCCTCCACAGGCTTCTGCAAGCATGTAGTGCACATAAACTCACACAGGGAAATACATGTACATTGAAATAAAAAGAATAAATCTTTAAGTAGTAATAATAAATGACCTAGAAGACATGTAAAGAATTGTAATGATTAATATAAATATATAATACATATTCATATTAAATGAATTAAACTATACTTCTACTATATTCATTAATATCATTAATATTAATATGATACTTATTAAACCTTTTATATTTACAATGTTTCTAGTCTTCTAAAATTCTGGATGAGTACTGTAAAATCATGTTTTCTACATTTTAAACATCAGATCTATGTTACAAATTAACAACCCTGCCTGTCAAAATATTTTGAAGAATCATTATTTAAAATATGAATATTTATTGCATTGAAACATTAAAAATTAACTCAAATTACATATTAATAACTGAAAATTATCTTTCAAAACATTTCTAAATAATTCTGGATATATTTTGACTTGATGGCATGGTCATTACTTAAAAATGATTGAAAAACCTGACTTCTAAAAGTGTGTGTGTGTGTGTGTGTGTGTGCGTGTGTGTGTCTGTGTATGTCTGTGTATCCCACACTGCAGTGAAGGTCAAAGGACAATTTGCATGAGACTCAAGAATTTATCAGGTTTG